TTTGGATATTTCTCCAAGCCTGCTGAACAAAGTCTCTTGCCGACCCAGAGGGCCCCACGAATCACCAGCCAGGTCATCATTATTGAGGCACTTCAACCCAGGCGCCCAAGCCCATATCGAGAGAGCCTCCTGCTTCGTAAGACCGAGCTTGCCAGTCAGATCATCTTGAACGGCCCCGCTAACTAACAGTCGATACAATGCCTTACATGACAACGCCTGGGCGTTGGAGAGGCCATCCGAAGCCCGTAAGAGGAGCTTCAGAGCACGACGACATTCGCAGTAGAAGGAGCACTCGGTTCGGCGTGTACGGCCGGCCTCTTCCTCGCACGAGTGCACACTTCTCAGGGATGGGAAATGTTTACGGACGTCTTCTTTCCAGAAGGCGCCCTCCTCATGCGATCCGCGACACATTCGGTCTGGAAAGTTGATGCGAAGCATATGTTGACGAATCTCAATGCTAGGCATACCCAGACCACCTTCAGAGGGATGAAGGCAACAGATGTCGCGAGATACCATAGAGGCCTTGTCTCTCTACAAGAAAGAGAACAAGATCCTTACTAATAATATTAGTCTGGTATACGGTAATGGAAGTACAGAGAGTCGGTACAGGAGAATCGGGTAGATGTGTGAAACACATACTTCCGCCCTTCCCTTCAGGGAAAGTCTCCTCCGAGATCACAGATTAACCTCGATCTCGGCCTTCCCTTGTACCTTCGACCAATTCATTTCCAACTGGAGATCAGGACCGAACCAGACGCCAAGTATCTTGATCGGCCCATCCGTCCAGAGGAAAGGTCCGGGAAGAGAAACTCCCTTCCACGCACCCAACCGCAAGGCAACAGACTTACCGCGGTTGATCTTGGCCCCTGTCACCATCTCATACCCACTGATCTCTTTGCTGAATTCGTCAATCTCGGCGCTGCCCGATACAAGAACCGAAACGTCGTCAGCATAGGCAGAATACCAGGCAGGGAAATTCCGCGCAGGACCGGATTAACTTGCGAAGGAATGGTTCCAACGCAAGAACGTAAAGCAAAGGCGAAAGCGGACAACCTTGAAGAATGGAGCGAGACAATACGAAAGGCTTCGATTTTACCCCATTCACCTCCACCAGCTCACCGGGGATCGCATACAAAAGTCGGGTCCAGGAGCGAAAGTCGGCTCCGAAACCGGCCGCCGAAAGGACAGCCTCCAGAAAACGATGGTCAACCCTATCGCAGTTCCTTGGACTGATATATTGATCAGCGCGGCTTCACTGTCGACTTGTTCTAAGATCAAGTGTACCATATGAAGGTTATCCTGAATAGTCCTGCCCTTCACAGCACAAGTCTGTTCAGGGCCAATCAGACTAAACAGGACAAGCTGCAAACGGTTGGCTAAGATCTTCGCCAAAATATTTAACTCAGTGTTTGACATGGTTAAAGGGCGACAATTCCCTAACCTATCCCCACCGTTCTTGTCCTTACGCAGCAACTTGATCACACCCCTGATGAATCGTTGAGGTATAGACCCCTGCTTCATCCAGTGGTTGAAAATCTGTTCCAGCAAAGGAACAAAAACGGGCGACTGCCTCAAGTAAACTTCGTAGGGAAGACCATCTAGTCCCGGAGATTTATCCAGGCCAACCTGCTTCAGCGCTTCCCTGATTTCCGACTCTGTGATGGGATCCTCGCACCTAGCCATTTCAGCTGCCTCGAGGCAGAGAAAGTCGGCTAAATAGGCGTCGAACTGAGCACAGCTCAGACCGGGATCCCTGGTGAAAAGATCCTGAAAGTAATCTCGAAAAGCCTCGCATATGCCCGCGTTTGCAGTCATGGTCCGCTTATCCGGCAATGTGACGCACGCTATATGTCGCCTAGACGCGTTCCGATTTTCCTCTGCACGCAGTTCAGCGGCCATATTCGTCGCCTCAGAAGACATTCTTTTTAACCTAGCCCTAACTACCAGTGCCTGATCCTTCTTGATAAGCAAGGAGGACAACTCTGCCTCAGCTAAGGCTATTTCCCCACAAACACGGGATTTCACGGCCCGATCAACTTTTTCTTCTAAAGCCGTTTGTGCCGCTTATCTATCTAGATTGAGTCAACGACTAAAATCGGCAGCAAACGTTCTAATTTTGGATTTTAATTAATCCCACCAGGCGTTCCAAACAACCGCCCCCGTCAATTCCCTCTGAATCATTAGTAGCAGCTGGTCCCGGAAACCCTGCTCACCAAATAATGAACAGTTAAATTTCCAGTAAACAGCCATTCTAACCTTAGGCTTATCTAAGTTTACACGGACCCGGACAAGCCTATGATCCGTATAAACTATATAGTGGAAGCTTGGACACCCTAAGAGCCCTACGTCAACTCTCCTAACTAGGACTCGGTCGAGGTAGCTCGTAAGCGTCCCAGGAGCCGAGTTGCCACTATTTGTCCAAGTCCATGCTACCTCCCGAGGGTGTTCATTCCGGTACTTATCGACAAGATCAAACTCATCGATAAAGTCCCGAAATGGTTTCACGCCCTGTTTTTGCCCTATACGATCTACATCGGGGTCAAGGACATCATTCGAATCCCCCGCTAAAACTACCCGACGAGTTGTCGTCAAGTACGGCCCGATCTTCCGAAACAAAGCAGGCCGCTCAGCATGGTTATTGGGCGCATAAACCCCAAAGAGACGTAGAACCTTATCCTTTATGGAAACATCCAGCACGCAAAGTCTCACCGCCGGATCCACGAAGACAAGGTTGCATGCAGCCTTCAAAGACCTGCTCACTAGCCAAGAGACACCCCTCGAACGACCATCAAAACATGCTGAATAAAGGGCGAACTCCTTAGACAGTACATCCTCACGATCATGAGAAGATACCGGGTTTCTTGCACACAATAAACATTCACCCCGAGGCGCTGAAGGTCACGAGAGAGCCTCGTTCTACGAGACTCGAACCTCAGGCCCCGGACATTTAAACTAGCTAACCAGAGTGTCATGATGAAAACAGATTAGGGTTGTAATACTGGTTTGAGCATGACCGGAGTCAGGATACCAACAGCCTCTCCCATAGACCCATGGCCCATCTCAATCTTGATGGTGCCGTCTTTGGAGATTCCGCCGATATTCCAGGGAAATGTCAATTTTAGGGCTAATAGATAGCAAATACTTTAAGTCCTTTCTTCGATTGCTGTAGTCTCGAGCTCTCTCAGCCTGAGCCGGTGAAATCCGGTAAACATCCTCCCCCGTATTGAAGATGTGTTTTTGGGCCCTTTTCCTCCGTTCTTTCGGTTCCTGTGTAGCCGTTTTGTAGCGCGGGGAGGCATTTCAGCTTTTTTAGAGGGGGAAGGACTAGGAGTCTGTAGAGGGGTGTAGGAGGATTTTTGTTTAACAGGGGAAGGGCTGGGTGTATGAAGGGGAGTGTAGAACGACCTATGTTTGTAAGGGCTGGGATCTCGAGATTTGGGCGGGGTTGTCGGAGGGGAAAGTTTCTTCTTGGGAGAAGGTGCGGACCGGGCAGAAGACGTGGAAGGAATCGGATTTGAAGGTCGGGATTGTTTTTTACTATCCAATTTCTTCTTTAGTTCTTTTATTTTTTCCGATTTTTCGTAGCCTTGATCATATTTTTTTTTGTTGGTCCTGAAAGTTTTGCTGAGAGGCCGGGGCATCGCCCTTAACGTTGCGAGAGGGAGTGGGGCTGTGCGTGTCTTTGACCCTCGGGGCTTTAGGGGACTGAGGGCCCGCTGTCCGGTGCTTCCCTCTAGCACTACCAGCCATTCCCCATCCCCCTCCCCACAACTGCACTAGCAGCGGGCGAAGGCTCTTTGGGGAATGGGTCCTTCGATGTTACACCAAACAGGGGCTATCACAGGAGGCGCCCAGAATTTCGCCATACTGGGACAAACACGCAGCGACGTGTTCCCCGATAACTGAGGAGAAACCTCATATACTGCTACACTTGTCCTTCTTCGGCTTTCTTAATATCAGATCTTTAGTTATTAGCTCGCGGCTAGCCGCGGCTACGCAGTCTTCTGGCGTGGGTAACAGTACGTCCCACACGAAATATTTGGCACCCTTAACTATTCTGAGGAGCTTAAACCCCAAGGAATCTAGTGTTTTCAACACTTTGTTTTTCGCCGAGCGACAAATTTTGCGCGTACGCTTGTCGACACCGAAAACTGACACAATTCTTTTCTCAATTCTCTTCAATTCTATGGGGTCTTTTAAGAGTCCATCTTTTACGACAAGGTAAGCGTAACTCTTAGCACGCTCGAAGAACTCCGATAAATTGATTATACATTTTGGTGGGGACGACCAACAAGAGGGCGATTCCCCGGCCTCAGTCTTGTCTTGTGAGCCATTCTTGGCTTCCATTGTTTTTCTTTCCATCCTTTTTGTTTTTGTTTTATTTTTTTTTTGGTCATGTGGTATGATTTTGATTAACGCCTATAAATATGCTGTTTCTCTTTTGCCTCTTTAGCCAGCTTTCCCTGACAATCCGCTTAGGTGAAACCTGGGTAGGTTTGTCTGGCTCACTAGGTTTATCTCTCCCCCTCTCTATATATATACAGAGAGAGAGAGAGAGAGAGAGAGAGAGAGAGAGAGAGAGCGATAGCCTTCTAGACAGGTTTGAGCAAACGGATATGAAGAACATGTAACTAGAAAGGCAAACGGGAGGTCATGTAATTGAAAATATTCCTGAGAGTAAAAAAAGACAAGAAACAGTGGAGAGCCATGATCGCCAACGTTATGAAAGGAAATAGAACTTATAAAGAGAAAGCGAGTGTGATAGAGAGATGGAGAAGCTCTTTAAGAAATTTGAGCAAATGCTTGGAAAAACAAGTTCCACTACTTCAAAGAAATGATCGTAAAAGATTGATTGTTTTTTACGGTTTATCAATCTTCTTCAGTCTTTTAAAATCTTAAAATAGTTTTTGGTAGATTGTTAGAATTTTTTCGAGAAATAATAATGAATTACTCATACAATCCCAACTAATTAACCCATAACTGGAGGGAGAGCATCCGAGCTTACAGCACCTGGTATTTCAAATAGGTCACTCATCTAGGTACTGAAAATGTTCGACGTTGCTTAACTTCAGAGATCATACGAGAATCGGTGATTCAACGGGATTTGGCTGTAAGATAGTTATAGAAGAAAAAGTGTAACAAAAGATAGAAAGCTGTGGAGCATCATAATCGTCTACGATCTCAAGGACCAGAAGGAATATATATATATATATATATATATATATATATATTCAACGACAAACATAAATACAATTTAATTGTTGCAAACATTCCTACAGAGGAGTTCGAACTTGCTGTTGAAAACCGAGCAAACTGGAGAAAACACTTTTTACCGAGGTATAACTAACTTTGAAAAGAGAGAATTAAGAATTAACACTAAATCTCGGGCTAATATATCGGCCCATATGACAGTCAACCCTTCATTATGCCCTTTGTGTGGACTTCTTTGCAAATCCTGTGCAAGATTGTTGCCTGGTGTGAATCATAAACTTAAAAACTGAACTGAAAGACACTGAGACGTCGAAATCGGCGGGAGAGTCCATCATCATCATCATCATCATCTATCTATCTATCTATCTATCTATCTACATATATATATATACATATATATAGGTCGTATGTAACAACAAAAGTGTTCAAATCGTGTAACAGCATGTGATAATTGCTCATCTCACAAAATGCTTAATATCTGAAAAAAAAAACACTAAACCATGTGAGTTTCTTTTTTACAGGTTTTTAGATAAGTTGTTTAGCCATCCTGACACCATTTGGCTTAAGAATCACTGAAAAACACTTTGAGTGATTCAACTAGAAAGAAAACAGGTTAATATCGTTTTGTGTCATCCCCACTGTCTTCCCAAATGAGCAATAGTGAGAGGAAAAAGATCATTCAGCCCTTCAATAATGGTACCAAATTTCATACTCTGGTTTCCATCTTCAAATCCTTTCAAGAACCATCAAGAGAACGCCGAATAAGTTTAAAAAAAGAGGGAACAGGGAAAAAACTGGATTAGGAGGTGACAACATGAGGAGGGATCGTTATTTCAACTTAGAGCTAAAGAGATCAATTAGAAAAGATCAAACTCAATCCATAAGATGTTTGGCACGTGTTAGAGGAGTTTCAGATATGACGGTTCAGGGAAAAAAACTTAAAAATGAAATCGTACGTGAAACCTATGAGGCACCTTGTTATTCCAGCACAGAAAGTTAGAAGGTTAGAGAGGGCGATGATCATCTTCAATAAGTTGGGAAATAATCTTGGAATAATATATATATTTGAACTTTATTTCAATCCTTAATGAGTTTCCGATCCTTAGCTATGATTTAGTTAATGATGGAACAGGTAATTTTTGTTCATTCTTATCGTTACTTCTCGGATAATTGCAGTAAGATATCTTTAATCATTTCTAAGATGCAACGATTTATAGCTTAATATATATATATATATATATATATATATATATATATATATATATATATATAGAGAGAGAGAGAGAGAGAGAGAGAGAGAGAGAGAGAGAGAGGGACAGACAGACAGACAGACACCGATAACCTATTTGACAATTGTTTATGGCTGGACGAATTATTACCATAAAGTTCACAAATGACAATGTATTGCTGAAAGCATGAAAAGATAAGAAACTGTGGAGAGCCATGATCATCCATGTTCTAAAGTGCTGTTTGTCCTTGTAAAAGAAAATGATTGTTAGAGCGTTGTGTGTGAGAGAAAAGGTGGATTCTAGTATGGGTTTACATTAGTGTATAGCCGTGGAGACAGGCGAACTTACTAGTTACATATCTTTCTGGTAACTATCTAAAGAAAAAAATTACCTGTAAATATTGCCGTTTGGAATTTCCCTCTCATTGTAGCTTTTCAGATTTTCTTCTATGTAACTTGTCCTTTTTGGACGTTAACGATCATGGCTCTCCACAATTTCCAGTCATTTTGAGCTCTTGGTAATTTTTCTTCTTTTGCTATCACACCTTCGTCGTTACTCACATTTTCAGTATAAGTTATTCTCAGCATAAATCCTTCTGTAGAACCATGTTTCTGTTGGATCAAGTCTCTTCTCCATCAGTGAGGAGACTGTCTAGCCTTCACCGCCGTATAGTAGAACCGATATTACATAACATTTATTCGTTTTTTTAAGCATTCCAACCCAAGCAAGGCAGGAAGTCACTAGCACGGAGGGGGTTATAGAGATTTGGAGCGAGAACAAAGAGGAGTGATAGAGGATAGCATGAAGAGAAGGTTAGGGGATAGATCAGGGCATCTGGAGACGTTGATTGACATTACATTTGAATAGTTCGATATTATAGCTATCAGGAAAACAAGAAATGGGGAGGGAGTTCCACTGTTGGATTCATTTAACCTTCTGACAGTGAGCCATCGAGATGACAGGTTAAACGCTTAAATTCATGTCTAGCTTTCGAAACATCGGAGCAGCCATGAAATAGTAAAAAAGATAGATAGACACGACGGCACGTATTGAGAGAGCGACTGCAGACGAGATGCCAGAAGGGCCATTTATTCGATTTTTTTAAGACAAACATTCCAGACCATATATAGCAGCAATACCAAGCAAAAGGGCGAATGGTTGATTTGTACATTTGAAGGATTGACTCAAGGAGTCATTGAAGCAGGAGCCGACTTTTTTTGTGGCGGGGGTTGATAGATCGTTCGTAATGTTTGAGATACTTAGATAGATAGACAGATAGATAGATAGAGGAGGGAAAAAGAGGATGGAGGATGAGAGAGAAAGGGGAGAAAAATAGAATGAGAGAGAGTGAGAGGGATCAGATAGACGTGGTGCAATGGTTAGACATGCTAGATCAATTACGACTGAGTAGTGAGTTCGATCCTCACTGGGTGCCCCATACTTTGCCACATCTAAGCCAGGCGTAGAAAATCATTATATTTGATATATATATATGTATATATATATATATAGAGAGAGAGAGATAGATTGGGGGGAGAGAGAGAGAGGATGAGAGACAGGAAGGGAGGGTAGAGAGAGAAGGGAGAGAGGAGAGAAATAACTGGGGAGCAAGAAAGGATAGGTATCAATTACCCAGCAAGAATAGTTTAAATAGATGATTCTAAATCCAGCGTCATTGTACGGCCGTATAAACAAATGTCCGATTGACGTTTCCTTTGTATTAAAATTTACCAATACAAAGCTCGAGATCCTCTCAAAGTAGATGCTTATTTTTAAAATCCTTATGCTGAATGAGGTGAGCGAGAACGAAAGAGGAAATGTTAAGAAGATAGATAACGATTGACCATTGACTTATTTAATGTTAATTGTAAATTCGGGGAAGCACCCATATTAGAATCTGCTCCAAAAAATTTAAAAAAAAAAAAAAAAGAAGTTCAGTGGCGCTTTTATCCTGATTTTGGATTACGGGGTGATTTAACTCCGTCGAAGTAGCTACAGAATGATGTGTGATCGCGCAACATTAGGTATCAGTATGAGTAGATGTTGTAAAAAGAATTATATTAATGACTTTAGATAAAAGATTAGAAAAAGTTTATTGAATTTTTTCCACTGAATAATTTCTGTTCCAGTAAATCCTTAATTAGCAGAAATTAAAAACTCTCTTCAGAATATGACCCAGTTTTCAGGGTGCAGGAAAGATTTTATAGTAAATTTTATTCAAATATTCAGGATTAAATACCAGATAAGCACAGATGAGAATGGTTTTTTTTTACGGTATATCAACAAAATTTAATGCTGACAAGATTTTTAGGATTTTTATGAATAGAATATGTATTCTTTGTAAGATATCAGATTGTAGATCAGGATTTGGGTTTATATTATTTTACGGCATATCAGCATCAGTGAGTTATTTAATGCCGACAAGATTTTTAGGATAGGTTCGTATGAATAGAATATGCATTAATATTTTTTTCAAAAATATACTGATGCTAATATTTTTTTCCAAAATTTACTACTTTTTTTTTATTTTTGAAAAAATGTATTGCTGGAAATATTTTTTAAAAATATATTGCTGGTAATATTTTTTTCTAATTGTATTGCTGGTAATATTTTTTCAAAAATGTATTTTTGGTAATTTTTCAAAAATGTAATCCTAGTAATAATTTTTTTTCTGGAATTTTTACTATAAAAATCTACTTGTAAACTTTCGTAGTGTTTTGACCGCAGTTTGGGGGATAATTATTTGTCCATAACTGGAACCCTAAATGGTGCTAACACCCCGGGTCAGGGTGGACGTGGGAGTAACAGCAACCAAGAAGATGGTTCCACGCTCCCGATTAGAGGCCTTGCTGCCGGATGTAGTTTATCGTCATATCCCAGACGTTTAATGGGGGTTTGGGGGTTATCTCTCTGCAGAGGTGCAGTCGGCCTATTCTGAAGCCCCAGTCGATAGAGTGGATAGATGACGATGAAGTACTATGAATGGAAATCCGAAGGCGCATTGGAATAACGAAAATGCCTTAAGAAGCCAGAACGATTCTGTTACGAAGAAAAGCATATTGTTAAGAGTTATTATCTCCGACATATTGAAGTGACGTGCTATTAGATTTGTCAGAAAATAATGTCCGGTTTTAGAATAAACTTTTATTTTTAAATTAATGTATTAAAAAACATTAAACTCTAAAGACTTTGACACTAACGCCAAGAAAACTTTGAATCCAGTTTGTCATTTGAGTTAACAAACTGCCACGATATTTGAAAAAATGGTTCTCAGTGGGCGTGAGATGAAGGGATGAAGTAGCAAAATCTCGTATCCCAAACCGAGCTTCTGCGGTGTCATCCTTATAATGTGTGGCCGAGTATTCTCATAAAGTAAAATTGAATCTTTGCTTAACTGAATGCGCCATTCGTTCAGTTGCTAGCGGTAGATTTCGCCAGTGAGGCTCACATTGGATTCTAAAAAGCTATACTGGATAAACCAATGGCGGACCAACTGAGACTTCTCATAATCTTCTGTTGATGCAATTTCGGTTTTGAAAAGTGTCTGGGTCCTTTGTCATGTTCAAGACATTGCGCCAATCGTTTATGATTGTCATAAAGGATCGATTTCACTATTCGATCAACTGTGTCATTTCTCCTGACAATTTATTAGTTGATTAAAAAATGG